AAATAAGGGAAATATGTTCCTTCGGCAACTCTGGAATTTAAGTTGTGTGGTCCTGAAGGTTCTTAGATTTCCAAAAGAGAAGGGAGAAATCATGGCAATTGAAACTGCCTCTTAATCATATAAATCTATAGTAGCAAACAATTTTTCTGTTCTTCCCAATAGGTCAGTTTCGATCTTCAAACTGTGCCTTGTTTTTCAAAAGGTATGATGCTAGAAATTCAATGGGGTTTGGTGGTCTCTCCTTTGCAAGCACAGCAAGTCCCTGTAATAATATAGGCACAACTGTCTGATCTAGGTAGGCATGAATTGGCAAAGACTGGAGGTCCACCTTCTGTTTAGATGTCTTTTCTGCATTAATCTCCTCATTTTCTACTATCCTCTCGACGTTGTCTGTAAGACCGTACTCAGAATGAGGATTTTCTGCAAGCTGCGTCTGTCCTTCCAGCATCTGTTCTGGCTCCATGGCGGACCTGCATGCCACAGTCCCCAGAAACCAGTCCTCGCACGAGCTGTTCGTTCCTAAGAGACCTGCACCACGCCACCAACTCCCAGCACCTGGCCACATATATTTAAATAAAAATTTGAATTAATTATCAAATTTGAAAATGTGGGAGATTTACTGTAACTATACAGATTTTTGACTTTTCCTTTAAAAAAATCAGAAAAATCGAGTCTTTGGGAGTAGTTGCTTGTGTACCACTGAGTTGGGTCCAATGCATAGTGACCCTGTACATCTATTTGAGGTTATAAATCTTGATGGGAGCAGGAAGCCTCATCTTTCTCCCTCAGAGCAACTGGTAGATTTGAACTGCTGACCTTTCATTTAGTAGTCCAGTTTGCAATCCACTATGATGCCAGGGCTCCATTTGTACACATTACCAACTGGTTAAAACGTTTAGTCAAGTATCCTTACCTCAGTTCATTTGCTCCTCAACATTTTCTGTTCAGAAGATACCAACCAACTTCATTTTGGTTAATGTTAACTCCTTGTTAACATGTGTTGATCTCTTTTAGATATTTTACTTTCTGATCACATCCTTGTATCTCTTCTATAGCAAATATTAATAATGACAGTAATAATAAAAACAACCATAATATTTAAAGAGTCCTGGTGTGGTGTTTCAGGTTAATATGCTAGACTGCAACATTGATTTGAAGTGCATGGTCAGTGGTTCAAGGTCACCATTTGCACCTCAGAGACCCTGTACAGACATTTAGAACTGACTCCAAAGCACTTAACAACAACAAAGTATTTAAATAGATACTATTAAGCATTTTCCAGACATTGTTATTAGAATTTTGCATATTCTAACTCATTTGAATCCTCTAAAGAAGAGCACTATAATTCTGTAGGATACCCACTAGACTAGACAGCCACAATGTCAACAGTTCAAGACCATTAGTTCCTTTAAGGGAGAAAGATCTTTGCTCCCACAAAGATTTATAGCCTCAGAAAGGCTATGCAGGGTCATTCTGAGTTGGAACCGACTTTTAAAAACAACAACAAACAATTCTCACAACACTGTTTCAAGGCAGGTCATATCGCTAATTTTTTTTTTTGGTGATGCTATTCGGTGCCATTGACTGGCTTCTGACTCATGTTACTTCATGTATTACAGAGCAGAATTGTTCTATAAGTTTTGTTAGATGTAATATTATGGAAAAGCTCTATGGTTGTACTGTTGGTTATACATGGGACTGCCGCTGACTATATGGTCAATGGTTCAAACACTGACTCTGTGACTTTGGAGGAATCACTTAACCTCTCTTGTTGTTGTTGTTGTTATGTGCCGTGGAGTTGATTCCAACTCATAGCGACCCTGTACAGGGTTTCTGAGACTGTAAATCTTTACGGGAGCTTTCTTTCTCCTGCTGAACTAGTTTCGAACTGCTGACCTTGCGGTTTGCAGCCCGATTCATAACCACTACGCTACCAGAGCTCTCTGTAAAACTGAGGTAATAGTATTTTTCTTACCAGTCTGTTGTAAAGATTAAACGAGAAACTGCATAAAAAACAGCTAGTTTCATAACTTTTTAAATTATTGGAGTTATGACTTCTACAGCCATTACTATTAACTGGTTGACTTTCAGAGCTTCATACGTCATGCAGATAAAAATCCCATAGAAGACAATTTGATCAGATTTATTGCTAAGTAGCAAATACTCTGGTAAATATCCCAAGTCAATGTCGTTTCTCCTTTGTCAGTTGTTCCTGGTAAAGAAGTAGTGGTGTTGATGTTCATAACCAGGTGCTCTTGAGTTTCAACTTAAGGTGATTCTGTGTGTGTCAGAGGACAATGGACTCTCTAGGGTTTTCAGTAGATGCTTATCAGAAGTAACTTTCTTTTTAAGTATTTCTGTAATAATGTTCATGATTTTTTTTAATTTGGAGAGGTCACATAATATTGAATGTTAAGAATTTGGACCCTGGGACATTATTTTTTTGTTAAATCCTGTCTGTAGAGTGTCTACATTTGTGATATTCAAAAAGTGGTCCATCTGCTTCCTTTTTAGTTGTTGCATCCTTCATACATATAAGAATCAGCACATCGCCTTGACTATACAAACATGACTGCGAATTAAACTTGAGCGGTTATGAAAGCTGTTCAGAAATGTCCCTGTTTTATTGTGTGCTTTGGAAATACCAACCATTTGATTCAATATATTCAGATAAGAACAAATATAATAATGGCCTAAAAACTTTTGTTTTGCTCATTCAAGTTGTTTAAACTCTTTATATAAAGATACAATAATTGGGTGGAATTTCTAGCGATATAGCTTGCTGTCTTCGTTGAAGACATTGTTGAAGGGAAATGTATAAATTCCTTAAAATAAATATAGTTGTTTCTAGATTCCACAAAACACATTGACCAACTTCATTATTACATTGCTTCCTTCACTTTTTTTTTTTTTTTTATCTTGTTCCCCTAGATTTAGAAAGTGAAAAATCAAACTGTGCTATTTTCTTGTTGGGTGCCATCAAATCTCTTTTTACTCAGGTGATAGAGCAGAACTGCCTCATAGGGTTTTCTTGGCTGCATTTTTTTTTTTTTTTTTTCTAAGCTTTTGTTGTGAATTGAGTGATAGTTTACAGGGGAGAACATTGGTTGTGCATGCAACTAACTGTATTTTGCTTTATTGCAACGATTACAATTACCCTCATGCACCATCAGTTGACAGTGTTTGCCTCTATCCCCTCTTTTTATTGTTGTTGTTTTCTTGTGGTTTTTTTGATGTGCATAAAAGCATACAGGAATATATAATCATTTAAATGACTAAAAGTCACATTTTGCTAGCCAGCCTCCTGCCTGTACACAGCATTTCTCTTTCTCTGAATCTAGAGTCCTTGGTTTCTCTACATCTCCATGCCATCACATCTCCTTCCATTTCTGGGGTTTCTGCTCCTCAGGTTAGGATCTTAAGTTTCCCTCATGCTCCTCCCTCATAATGGCCCTAGGTTCCTCTGTTTCTGGAATATAAGATTAAAGATCCCCCCCTTTATGTTACACACTTCTACCTTTACAGTTGTGACAATAGCAATTAGTCATGATAACAATTATTCACGATTGAATCAAAATAATCCTATCCCCATCTCCTTTCACCAGACCCATCTAGACAAGATAAAAACTATTCAGTCGGGATGCTGTGTTCCTCCAAACTCTCTGAAACTAAACTCCCTCTTGAAAACGTGTAAGCCAGCCACTTTGTGCCTTTACAATCCCCTCATTTTAGGTAGCCAATGTCTAAATTGCCCATCCTTATCAATGCTGTGAACTGAGGGGATAGGCTTGATCATTGATGATAAGCCTCCTTCCACTTTTGGTTGGTACTTTGAGCAACTACATCCAAAATCAAAGGTCACGTTCATCAAATTGTAGCAATTTATATTTGCTCCCAGTATCAAACTTGTTTATCTTCTTCTAGTCAAGTTCTGATCATCAACCCATCCTAGCCAGGTCATATGGGTACTATATTCAAATTTGGGTGTTCTTGCCTGCCTCCACCCATTTCATATCAGCTAGACTCTTCAACATCAGCTCAAGGCCCCAGTGGCTGGGTCAGTGTCCATGGGTTCAGGAGTTCCCATGTCTCCCCAAACTTTGGACCAACTAGCCCTTCTTCTTCTGTCTCTCATCTCATGGTCTACATGAAACATGGTAGAACTCAGACCATGTCTTCATTACTGCCTTCACCCCGTTTCCGCTTCACAAGTAGACCAACATGGTCACCAGCGAGCTTACAAGCCTGCTTGTGTTTTCACTTGGAGTTTCAGTCTTGAAAGGGGGTTTGTCCTGAAGGGACTTGATGACTTGATGACTTGCCTTGATGTCTCTCTGGTGAACAGCTTATTTGTTCTTGTAATAGGCAAACAGTCTGTTTTTTTTGTTTTGTTTTGTTTTTTCTGTCTCTCACTGCTGGTCTTTCAAGAATTATCTTCTGTTCCTCTAGGCTGGTCTGCATGTCCTTTCAAGTGGAAATGTCCCAACACAGATGATTCTGGATGGGACCTAAGATTCTACCTGAGACCCCATACTCTACAAAGGCTTGACATGAAGCCTATTTCAGTAGGCAAATTCTAGAACCCCTTTTAGATATTGCAATGAATTATAGGCTGAAGATGGGTTTACAAACTTTCTGTAATCATATTTCCCAATATTCCTTTCTATCTCACTTAAATGTCTACTTTATAACAGTCGCCAAGGGAAACAAATATCCACAAGACTGTCAAGCATCTTAACATTATTTCCCCTCTTTTACCTATTCAGATTATGCCTTGATCCCTGTATTATAGATCCCTGTTTTTGCAAGGTTGAGTATATATCATTATTTACCTCTGTCCCATTTAGCCCAAACCTACCTGTTTCCCTATCTTCCTTGTTCTTCCACCTGCTTCCCTTTCTTCAGTATTGCCCTCCCCTTCCTTGAATATTGCTCTGCCCATCACCTCATGTGACCATTCCCAACTTGTGTTCCT